CGGATTGCGGGCGGCGGCTGTGGCAGCTCTGGCACCCCCGGCGGGGGCCAGATCTGCATCACAAGCGGCGGCTCCTCCGGTGGCCAGGCTACATGGCGGGGGCACTGTTCCGGTGGCCGAGCCCATGGTGGAGAAACTGGGAAGCAGACAGCACAGCAGCATCCTTGGCAGAATAGAGATGTTTTCAAGTTTCCTTATGCAATAGTACAGTGTTTCTCAACCGGTGGTACAAGTAACCTTAAGGGGTCCTTGAGAGAAGTCTGGGGGGTACGTCAACACAACTGAAATTTGGAGGGGGTGGAAATCAGACCCCTAGTGAAACTGAACCTCAAGACTTTCAGCAAAGTGTCTGAGATAGGACGGTTGTGTCTTTGAAATACTGCTAGTTAGCTGTAACGTATGATTTACTTTCACACACACACACAAACTCCTCCTATTGTACTTAGGCTAACCTCCTCCTGCAGTAAGTATGAGACAAGCTCCATAACTTTGCTGTTTTCCAAAGAATCAACCGATGGAGAGCTTAAGCAGGCTCTTGGAACTATTTGAGTAGAAAGACTCAAGTCTTTTGAAAAACTTCAGAATGGTTATCAAAAGCAGTTTGCATTGATAGAAACCCTGGCAAACCTTAATTGCAGCACCCAAATAGAATTAAAGTGTTTGAATTCATGCTATAGGTTCTCAATCAGCTGGAAGCATGTGGCATAGTAGAAACTATCAGCATCAGTGCAGCTGGATTTCCTATTCGGTAAGTCCTAATGGATGTTATGTTACTCACATTTATTTGGTCTTCAAAATCTATCTCCTTAGACTTCATGAGTCACATTTGTCTAGTGCAACTCTACTGGCTTCCACAAAGTTCATCCCTCTAGATACTTATATTAAAATACTAGCTGGAGTTAGCCGGCATTGCTCGGGAAACCGGAGGAACAAAATGTAGAAAAACTGTAGTCCATTATCTTTTTTTGAATGGTAGAAAAGTTGCACTGATTTCTATAAGGCTTAAAATATAGGTCCAGAGGAGGGGGTGCGACCTCGAGTGGAGGGGAGGTTACACGTGGGAGGGGCACCCCAGTTCGCGCGCAGGGTTGCAGGTGCCGCAGGGGGCAGGGCGGGTGCCTAAGCCATTGTCCGCATGGGGGTCGGGGCACTGCGTGCCGGGGGGGGAAGAGGGTCACTTATGTAACCTCGTGGGGTGGGAGGGAGCGAGTCCTGGACAGCACTGGGGGCCGCAGGTGGCGGTCACAGGACCTAGGGCAGCCCCTGCAGCACAGCATGGCAGGTTACTTTTGATTTTTACAGCTTGAGCTCGGGCCCGATCAGATCCAAAAGTACCTTAAAACATTCTGGATGAAAGGTTATCCCATGCAAAGTTTGGTTGCAGTAGCTCTTATAGTGTCCAATTTATTAGCGCACAAACTTACAAACATTCTCCTTTATATATTAGATTTAATTAAATACCTGTTAATGTAGAGACTGGGTGGGTAGATATGCTCTTATCTGAGTAGCCAAATGTAAATTGGCAGGAAACCAATATATTCTGCTTGATGGCTTATTTAGGCAAATACACCTCAGTGAAGAATTTCAAAACAGTGAAGGGAATTTAGATGTATATTCTGCTTACTTAAACGTAAGATTCCAAGATCCCCCTACCTTCCTTTCCAAATTTCCATTCTGAAGCGTATCATCCCTATGACCAATAAATATGGGTATAAGATTGTCACTTAAACTCTTAAATGTCTATTTCTCCACCTCCCTCTCAGTATAACAGTTCCTTATGCTGGCACTAGATTAGGTCAGCCCTTGCACATGACAATTTTGAAATCTGCCAAGGGCACAGACAAGATTCACTGAGGCTAGGCCTACACTGAAGGGGAAGGTCGAATCAAGATAGGCAACTCAAGCTCTTAGAATTACCAACCTGGAGTTGCGGTGAAGAGTCCTGTGGCACCTTATAGACTAACTGAAGTGTTGGAGCATAAGCTTTCATGGGCAAAGACTCACTTCGTCAGATGCATGTATCTGCATCATGTATCTGCATCTGACACAGTGGGTCTTTGCCCACGAAAGCTTATGCTCCTACACTTCAGTTAGTCTATAAGGTGCCACAGGACTCCTCGCCGTTTTTGCAGATTCAGACTAACACGGCGACCCCTCTGATACTCGACTACTTGGAGCTGACATACTTGGATTGGAGTTTCCCCTCCGTCCTCTCAGCAAGAGGCTGATGGGAGCAAATGCTCTCATCAGCTTCCTTTACTCCTCAGAGGAGCAGGATTACCGGCTGCCGACAGGGGCGCCCTCTGAATTCACCTTAGCGGGTCTTAACCAAACCACCTAAACCAGTGGTTCTCACACTTTTTGGGCTCTGGAGCCCTTTACAGGCGTAAAAACGTATGCGGAGCCCCAACAGTCCACTGATTGTTCGCATTGTACCGATCGATGTTTCCAGTTAGTCAGCCTCGCGAGGTGTCTCGCGGAGCCCTGGGGCTCTGTGGAGCACAGTTTGAGAAACACTGTCCTAAACCAAACTCTGGAAGATGGATAGCAGCAGCAATCATCTTCCCCAGAGTGAAGACATGGCCTTAGTTATTCTAGTCTTAGCAAGGAATTTTGTATTCTGAGACTGAGATGAGGAGAGCCAACCAGGGGTTTAGTAACACGGTTCTCACTAATTTTAGTTACCTAAAGTCTAAATCCCCTAACTTTGGGTAGAGACTTTTGAAAACCAGCTATATATTGGAAAAAAGTTTAAAAAAACCAAACCAGTGCTGGTTCTGAATTTTTCCTGTTGAAATAGTGGGACTTTAAACCCTCTGTGCTATTCTTTGGCAGGGCTGTCCAAGATTTAAAACCACAGAATAGCTTTGTGAAGCAGTAAGTCTCAATGGGCAGCGATTGTGTATCTCCAGTGGTAGAACTCTGTGGCTACGTCTACACTGGCATGAATTTCCGAAAATTCTTTTAACGGAAAAGTTTTCCGTTAAAAGCATTTTCGGAAAAGCGCGTCTAGATTGGCAGGATGCTTTTCCGCAAAAGCACTTTTTGCGGAAAAGCATGCGCTTTTCCGCAAAAAAGCCCCAATCGCCATTTTCGCGATCGGGGCTTTTTTGCAGAAAACAGTACTGTGCGGTCTACATTGGCCCTTTTGGGCAAAAGTCTTTCGGAAAAATACTTTTGCCTGAACGGGAGCAGCATAGTTTTTCCGGAAAAGCACTGATGATTTTACATGAGATCGTCAGTGCTTTTCCGGAAATTCAAGTGGCCAATGTAGACAGCTGGCAAGTTTTTCCGGAAAAGCAGATGATTTTCTGGAAAAACTTGCCAGTCTAGACACAGCCCATGAGTTTAACCAGCCCTAACGAGCAACAGTTTGTTCAGCCAGGGCATGGAATGTCTGCTGTTGTACGGAAGAATCCCCAAAACGAAAACTAAGTCTGTATCTGTGGGCAGTGAAACCTTGCTCATCCCTCCCTGTAGCAAGCCAACCAAAAATGTCTTTGCCTCCCTCTAAGATTTAAAACTAGAAGCTGCAGTGAGCTCTAAATTACGAATGATAGTTGTTTATTGAATATACAACAACTAGGGGCTGCCCCCCTGCTAGCTCGGCTCACCAGCCCGAGAGCGTGAGAACGTCAGTCTTATCACCTGCCAGGAAAAACTTTTTTATATATGGAGAGGATAAATTCACTAGGGTATTTTTGAAGTATTTCCAACTAAAAGTCAATGAACACAACAGTTTTGCAGATCATGAAAAATGCATTAATCAGTGCTAAACTCATGATTGCATGCTTGAAATGAGTTTGTTTTACTGGGCATTAGTGACATGGCTGTGACATCACTGCAACCAATTGGAGTTTTGTACATCAAATTCTAAAGCCTTTCATAACCACTAAAAAGTAATTTGTAAGCATTTGAGCCCATACAGTAAATAGTACTCATGTAGGATTGATTTTCATTTTGGCCATCAGGATCTCCTTCCAAAGTTTTATTGAGCGTTACAGAGTATTGGGAAAACCACGTACATCTACCTCAGTGTCAGATGAAAATGTTTTCTCTTCGGCTGAGATCAAAAGAGGTAGGTTTCATTGTAGCACTTGGAATTTCTTGATATTGCATAAATTAAATACAGCGCCTGTATTTTTATATATTCTGTTCTGGGAAATTTCTCACTTTTTGAACTTTCACAGTATTTTTACTCTCTGCTCGATGTTAATTTCCATACAATCTGGCATTTAAAGGTATGCTTTTAAAACTTTAAATAAAATTACTTCCAAGTTAAACCTTTCATCTTTGTGCAAATGACTATGGTCTGTGTTCTCCTCTGGGGTAGAATAAGATTTTCAGATTCTCTCTTTTTCTTTCATTAATATATTTTGCATTGATAAGAATACTAACATTAGTTCAGTGTTTTGTTTGTTTACATTCCTTTTTCTGTTCTTGTATCTGTGGCCAACTACACAACTGGCCTCTAGCTTTACTGGATTTTGCTGCTGCTACTTATACTGCTTCTTCTACCTTTTGCAAACGCTTCTCTGTGCAAGTCTGTATTTAAAAGCAACGGTCGTGGATGCATTTTAAAAAGTAATCCTACTCATAAGGTAATACGTCTACTATGAATTCCTGAAAGACGGGCTATTTAAAAGAGGGTATTAAGAGAGCCAATGGAAAGTATCTGTCACATGTAGTATCCTAACCCATTTTAAACTTAATCTAGTCAAGTTTGGAAAAGGAAGCCCCAATAAGCTAGGAAATGTTGGTAGTTTGAGCCAGTTAGAACAGCTGACACCATCTACAGGTTGGATCTCCTTGGCCCGGCACCCTCAGGATTAGGGATGTTAGTGAATAGTCGTGTAAACAATTAACTGATAAGCCTGGTCTGATTAGTTAATCCTAATGACTACAGGTACCCCCTGCCTGCCCTTGCTGCCTCTGATACAGAGGCGGCAGGAGCTGGTGCCCATGAGACTATTTCCCAGATTTTAATGAGACGCTTCACTTTCCCTCCCTTCAGCATCTTGTATTTTGCAGGTTTGGCTCCAACAGCCGACAAAGATGAAGCGTTACGCTTTGTCATCCAGGATATTCTTCAGAAAGTGACAGTGGGACACAGTGCTGTTTCCCTGAAGCAAACCGAGACCAAACTAAACAAACCATCAATGTACTGTGGAAAAACCAAAGTCTTTTTGACTAACTCCATGGTAAGCATGTTACATCCCTCTCTTGGAAGAGCAAAGAGGTGTTTCTGCAGTACAGGGCAAATCCCAATTCCACGACAGACACAACGGCTGACTTCAGTGGAACGAGAATTTTGGCACTCTGTTCGCTTTATTGGGGAAAAAACCCCACCCTTTTACACTTTGGTGCATTGTGAAAACAATCCAATAGGAGTAGAAAGGTTTCAAACACACATCTTCATTGAGTAAGGGACAGAGCCATGAGGCATGCACCATGGTGCCTGCTTCCCTGCCAACACATTTGCTATAGCTGCTCACAGGTGTACAGAAGAGGATTCAGTTTCAGGCTAATAAAATTTGTCCACGTGTCAAATTCCTGTCCAAAGTGTGTGCTTAACATACACATGCATGTCACTGTCCTTTTACATGCTTTGCTGAATCTGACCTGAGCTAATTAAGCAGACCACTTGACATAAGTTACTTGTATTGGCTTTGATAGGTGTCTGTTTGCTAGGCATTTCCCCACCCCAGGTCTCGTCCCTCTCCGCAGACAATTTAGCATGGTTTTTTTTTTTCTTAGCTTTTGAAAGTAGGATCTACAGTACTAGAAACTGAAATGGTCTCATCTCCCTGCATAGATTACCCCACCATTGTTTTGGCTTTCTAAAATGTGCTCATTCAAAATACTAAAGGATCCCTGTTATAAATGAACGAACAATTAGGCCAATCGTAACTTTTGTCCAAATACGTATGAATGAATATGCAGACTACTAACTGCAAGATTTTCCCTTGACGCAGCTAGAACAACTTGAAGCTAGAAGAGCGGCAGTATTATCTGAGAGTGCGTTTTGCATTCAGTGTTGCTGGAGAAGATTTAAGCAGAGGAAGCTATCAAAGCAGAGCTGGTCTGCTACCATCATCCAAGCAGGTAGGTGAAATCCGATATGGGCGCAGTTGTTGCTTTTGAAGTCACATCTCCTGCCAGATTGGCTAGTCAGATTACCAAAGTTTGGTACCATAACTGAACATTGGCACAAAGTTTACAATTGGGAAATGTGTACTAGGGACGTGAAGGACTAGTCGCTTCCCCCTCTTCCTGCCCCTATCAGAAGGAGGCACCAATGGGGGGCGGGGGAAAGAAGGGAGTACTTTAAAGTGGCAGTGCTGCTTGGAGCCTTGAGCTAGACCCCGGGCTCCATGTGACACTGCCGCTTTAAAACGCTGTGTAGCGCGGGGCCAGCTGGGGTGTCCCCAGGCTTCACATGGCATTTCAAAGCGGCAGTGCAGTGCTGAATGGAGCCTGGGATCAGCTGGGGACTCCCCTGCTGACCTGGGCTCCGTGCTGTGCTGCCGCTTTGAAACGCTGTGAGGAGCCTGACACTGGGCTCCCCGCAGTGATTCAAAGCGGCAGTGTCAAACGGAGCCTGGGGTCAGCTAAGTTCCCAGCTGATCCCAGGCTCCCTGCGGCAGCCTTAGGGTTGCTGCTACACTTCAACACGGAAGCGCCCTATCTTTTTAATAATTAATTTAATGGCGATTGCCTATCTCCTAGAACTGGAAGGGACCTTGAAAGGTCAGAGTCCAGTCCCCTGCCTTTACAGCAGGACCAAGTGCCATCCCTACCAAATTTTTGCCCCAAAAATGGCCTCTGCAAGGATTGAACTCACAACCTGGGGTTTAGCAGGCCAATGCTCAAACCACTGAGCTATCCCTTTCCCCCCCAATTGACTTATCGATACATTGTGCATCAACTATTCGATTAGTCAGTTGGTCGATACTTAAAGTCAGTAGTATGCATTAGGGATGTTGTTCAGGTGAGTGCTTTGAGAGCCCCTACAATTTCTAATTCCTTTATTTTGACTGGGTTTTGGTTAAATCTTCAGGTGTTCGTGCTTGGTTGGCAAAAAAACATTTCCAAAGAATGCGGCGGGCTGCTACTCTGATAAAGCATGCCTGGAGGAAATGGCAAGTAAGTACCATACTAACTGCCTTGAGTCGGTTGCATTCCCTGCTTCTTTTTATGTGTTGAAAAATAGTCTCCTCCTTCAAGGAGTTATAAAGAACACTTCAAAGCACAATGCTGACATTGACTTTATCCCTTCCTTTGTTCTCGTTCCCCGTGAAGAAAGAGGAGTAAAGAAAACAGCTCTGGAGTCTCCTTTCCTGTGACCAGAATTAGTTTCCTCAAGCTAAGGGAGCGGGGAAAGGCAAGAATTCAGGGACCAGTCCTACTGTTAGTCCCCTCTGAGGGTTTAGTTAGTTAACTGGTTAAACATTAAGTTTAACCAGTTAATTGATTGAATGGGAAAGGGCCCCTATGTCATGGGAGGCAGCAGTCCTGCGCAGAGCTAGAGGCAGCAACACTCCCCTGGCCTCCCAGGCTGTTGCTTCCGGCCCCACCTGGACGGGAGCAGGGAGAGCTGTTCCCATGTTCACTAGTACCCAGTAGGCACTTACTGCTTAAGAGTTACAGGATCAACTCCTCAGTTGCTTTTCAGCTTCACTTAGAGGGGGTCAGTGTTTTAACCAGCCATACACTTGTTGAACTCTGCGGAAGGTCCTGTTTGTTCAATTGCCCACATTGGTTTTGGAAGATTCTAGTAACGTAGAGGCCTGGGAAGCTACGTCTGCCCCTTTCCCTCT